GTAAGACGTAATATCCCCGAAACTCTTCACCGCTGCATTGGAGGAAGTTTTCAAGCTACTGGACTAGAAAGGATATCGTATTGACATCAATGGCGAATACATCACTCACCTTCGATTTGGTAACTATATAGTCCTTATGACAGAATTGCTGGAGGACCTAAGCACTATGTTCAATGACCTCAATAGTGTCTCGAAACTGATAGGTCTTAAGATGAACATGGACAAAACAAAGATCACATGTAATGTCCATGTCACACTTATGCCGGTAGTTGTTGGGAGTACTAAGTTGTTGATGAGGTAAGTCCAACTTCGAACGAGAGTTCAATTAACGGATTCAACTTGGCTGGGCAGCGTTCGGGAGATTACGATACATCTTGTCGTCAGGCATAGCTCAACACCTCTAAACTGGATTGTACAACCAGTACGTGCTGCCAGTGATTACCTATGGATCTGAGACGTGGTCCTGCACTGCTAGCCGTATGAGGAAGCCGTCAAAGTCGCTCAGCGAGCAATCGAGAGGGCTATGCTCGGGATTTCCCTGCGTGATATACTTAAAAACGAGAATATCCGTAGTAGAACCAGAGTAACCGACATAGCTCAACTGATTCGTAAACTGAAGTGGAAATGGCCGCCCATATAGCTTGAAGAACCTACAACCGATCGGGAAGAAGGTTTGCCGCTTACCGTTAAGAGATTGCCACTCGACTGTAGGGCGGACACCCACTAGATGGAGTGACGACTTATGCAGACATGCAGGAAGTCCATGGACGCAGGTGGCTCAGGACTGTGCATTGTGGCGTTCCTTGTAGGAGGCCTATGTTCAGCAGTAGACTTGTGAAAAGCTGTAATGATAGTGGTGATAAATTATTACACGAGAAGTTTCTTTTCAGGGTGTTATCCCAACTAGGAATGTACTACATTCTCGTTAATTGATAGAATCAGGCGTTACTTTGCGGAAATCCATTATAATAAAAAATAAAAATATAAATTTCTTTGCAACTTTCCGCTAAACATATAAAATGATGTGTCTTACCTGGATTGAAGCGCACCTCCCGCCCTCCCTCAATTGCATACACTAACTCCGTCACCACTAGACCAAGCACCACTACTCTCAACACCACTATTCCAGGCAAGACACACCATCGACGATAATACGACACGTGTTTCGCCTCTACACGAGGCATCCTCAGGTAATATAGACTCTATGGCGGCTGACCGCTAAGTGACCGCTGAGTCAGTATTACATCGCCAATCAGCAATACACCGATTCTTGTATTTCATTTTGCAAAAGCAAACCAGGTATGGCTACAGGTTATTGGGCGTTCCCTCGTTGTACTTATGGGTGACAAGGCATAACGCATCCCCTTTATTTTTTAGAATTTAACAGCGTTTCTTACTCAAATGTTATAAAAAATGTCAAGTATATACATGAAGCACCTATGTTTATTATACACTAGCTGCGCCCGCGACTTCGTTTGCATTTCTAATTTGTTTTAAAGCTTCATTTCTTGTGACTACTGATTGTATTTTATAAACCACATCACTGTTTCAACTCAAACAGTAATAGTATCGATAATTTTAGTATACGGAGTAATTTCATCATTAAACCGATTAAGTGCATGGAAGATTTTAACTCGGAGGATGTCGTGTCCGTTCAATATTATATTTAAATGAAACTAAGTAACGTAGATATGCACTAACATAATATAAAAAGAAACTAAAACTGTTTTTTGTAGTAGCAGCGTAAATGAATCCATCACTACTCTACGTCCTGGAGGTGTAGTAAGAGGCGACTATGGGAAACGCGCGCTTATGGCGCTATAAGCAAATCTGTCACGTCAGAGCCAGACATAAAATGCCCGATTATTCGTACCCAGGCTGGCTAGTCGTACCCACACTGGTTAGCAACGTCAAAGACGCATGATGTTTTGTATTACGATCGTCAATTTGTCTTCGAACCGTGAAAATTATAACAAATCACTCCTGAAGTGGAAGAGGTCCATGTCTTGCAGTAGACTCTTACGATTTGAATTATGAAGCATAGAAAAAGAATAGATAAGTTTTGAATCATAAAGTAATGCGATAAAACTTTGAGCCCCTCCAAACTTTTAGACTAACGCGACCGTCTCTGACACCCTCCACACTTCGGATCCACTCTTGCAAGTCGCCTTGTTAATTGTCATTGCAAAGTTATAGGTGTTACGTTTTAAGTGAATTCGTGAGATAAAACACCTCTTAATCTATATCATAAAAATGTTAACATCTGTGTCTAGTACATTATTTTAAGGAAAAACTAATTTGAGCAGTTTACCATTGTAAAGATTTGAAGCCAAGCGATGAAGCAGCGAAACAAACTAAATTTCCATTAGAGCCTATAAAAGTCTACTGCAGCAGTAGACATAGGCATCCTCTATATATTCCCTCACAAGGGTAAGTTTCTTATATGTGAAACTGAACGATTTATAAAAAAAACTGCAACCGTAGTAAAAATTAATTATTAGCAATTAAACGAAACGCAATAAGACTGTGCGATGAATTCTGCCCATTCCACAAAACTGACCTTTTAGAGTGGATCGCGCGATATGAAAAATTTGTAAAGTCGTTGTTTAATATCCCTTTATAAGGAGTATATATATATCCCTTTATTAATGGTTATGGGACCCTAATAACAAGAATTACACAAATAAAGGTGTGAGAAACTATTCTTGGTGACACATTAGTCGTTAAATGGATTACCCAGTTGAGGCATTAAAGAAAAAGTTAGATCTTTGTCTGGACTGGACTGTCTATTTTTCGTGATTTTTATAGTATATATTTTAGAAGAATATAAGTGACATGATAATATGTCACCGTTGCTGCACGAGTGATTCTGTAGAAAGGCCTTTAACTGACTGATTCAGGGTCAAGTGGACCGTGTTGATGCAGCCCGGCAGAATCAGATCCTAGATCGCGAATCGTGAGATCAGTGTGGAGTCTGGACCGGCTATTGAGTGTCAACAAGATCCACTGGCAGAGAATATTAGCAGTGCAATTCAGAAAAGGATATCATTTGTTTTTTGTCAGGAAACATAATTTTTTAGTTTAAGGAAAACATATTATTTTGTTTTGTTAAGTGTGTTTTAAGTAGAAATAAATTATTATAGAACGTAATTTTGCACACAATAAAAATCAGAAGCAAATATGAAGACACATCTGCATGGAAAAAAAAACACAACCTGCCTTTATGTATTACATTTGCACAACACTACCATCTATCGATGACATGGGTTAATTGTTACTTTAGATATTAAGGTTAATTATATTTTTGTCTATATTTATTACGTAATTCTTTCTTACTTTTATTTGCTGCGTTTGAGATATAATTATATCATTATAAAAATTATTTTACATCCTTTAATTAATTATGATTTATGACATTAGATCAAAATGCACTTGATGACTCAATGCCGCCATTGAATATATTCATTCTTATCGTAGACAGAGAAACCCATAGACTAATGATTAGCGTGGCCTCGAGTGAGAAAGGACGATAACGTAGTTTTAGGTTATACAAGTATGATTTTTAAATAGATATATAACATAAACCTATAAATAAAATAACAACAAAGGTAACCAAATTGACGATATTAACTACCATCTTATATTTATATAAAGTGCTTATGTACCAATATTTTAAAGATAGTCTTATTAGATAGGTTTCTAACGTCATCGGGCAAGGAGTTCCAGAGTAGTGTAGTCTGAATGGTGAAGGATTTACCAACAAAATTAGTAAAATGTAGTGGGATACTTAGTTTATTATTATATGAGGTAAGCAGAGTTCTATTATGCCTTCAGGAAATATACTGAAATTTCTCCTTGACATAAGGAGTGGATGGATCATTTAATATAGATTTTTATATAATTAACAAGATTTACCAATATTAAGCTCACAAAACACTTTTTACTCACTTAATCCAACTTCTAAACTCCTTAGATCGCTACGAACTGTCAAAATGTTTAGCAAAGAGTAGTTTGCTAAACAAAAAAAAAACCGGCACGGAGAAAGGGACAAACAATCACACAGCTCTGTCTTATTTTTATGCAAGACGTATGTAGTAGGTTGCTAAAATTATAGGTGTTAATTAAACATATTCAAATATATATTTCACAACATTTTATTACTGCCTTTAAAAAAATTCAACTTAAATTACGAATCTCAGATAATATAATTTAATAAGTTAATTGATACATATCAATTGATTAAAACAACACACCATGATTTCAATTACATTTAAAAGGTCACAATCTAAACATTCTACGAATTACTTATAATATAAATAATCCAAAAAAATCGAAAATGACATATATAAACATAACACTTACTATTTTCTAAATCATTATTATGAAGCAACGAAAACAACTTTATAAACTAATCACATAAAATAACACAGATTTTATCCTTAGCACTTAGCACAGAATACGTTATAATCTAATTCATACTTTTTTTTCTCGACAAAAGCTACATATAAATATCATTATTTAGAACAATATACATATATTTTTACTAAGTATCTAGTATTAGTTTTTTTTTTAAATGTACCCTTTTTTATCCATTATAAGTCAGTACCTGATGACTACTAACTCGTGTAAGATGGGTGGATCAATATAAGTGGTGGTGCAGCCGAAGATGGTAAAGCGCATTGACTTAATAAAAGCTTATTCGCTCTTGCCTTGAAGACACAATTGTTATTGGATGGAAAGACAGAAATGCTAGCAACTTATTCCACTCCTTTGTTATACGAATGACGAGCACTGTAGCAACTAAGTTAGTGAATTACACTTTAGTAGACATTTATTGACCTACGACTACTACCTACGACTGAATGTGATATTTCTACATTTTAACAATTATATTGTTACTGAAATTGCAACTACTTAAAATATTACTAAGGAAATTTTAACATGTTTTTTATTTGAAAACATAATTCCGTGTCTTCTACGCTGCATGAAGTGTTGACTAGTTAATTTTCCTGAAAAAAAAATTTTTTTTATTTTATTAAAATTGCCTAATATCTATACATATAAATCAAGACGAAGTATCTATCTGTGATATTAAAATAATTGGCTTCTATTGATCACAGAGGATCAATTGCGTACAATAACGTGCTATAAATAGCACGCAAATGATCCTCTGTGCAATCTCTGTCAAAAGATTGTTTTTTAATATTTATAAGCATTTATTTAATTTTTTATCTGTCTCTTTATGTCCGGCTAAACTTATTGTGATGAAACTTCACGAACAAATTGGGAGCTATGTCAGGAGGGGTCTAGGCTATATTTTATCCAAAAAACTTTAACGTTCTTTGCTTATCTAAATCGATCCTACCCACGTGAAGTCGGGGCGGTTTGCTGGTAAATTAATAAATTAGTTAACATTTTAAAGCACTAACACCAGCATGTGCATACGTGTAAATAATACAAATAATACAATTATTTCATATGAAATCTCAAAAGTAGTCTTTGGAAAACACATGAGTCTCGGATTGGGGGCGACTAAATCTAGTCCAGTTTAACCCCCAGCAGACACAAGTTTGCGCGTTAACCGCTAAAAAGAACCCCTTTGTCGTATCTCCTCAGTTTTAAGGCACTCCCCGTGTTGCCTCAGCCAGTATCGGAATCCTCGGCGTCGACAAATCGAGTGACGTGCAGTTTCGTGGTCACTTGGAAGATAAGGCCAAATTGGCCTCTAAAAAGAGCGGGACAGTATTTCATGCCGACAAACCGCCTGCAACTTTACAAGGCGCAGGTTCAGCCGCACATGGAATACTGTTCCCCTCTCTGGGCTGGGGCTCCCCAGTACCAGCTACCTTCCACTTGACCGCATCCAGCGCAGAGCGGCTTAAATCGTCGACGACCGAGTGCTTTCCGATCGGCTCGATTCACTGGCGCTGCGAAGAGATGTTGCATCTCTTTGCATTTTCTTTCGCATATACCATGGGGAGTGGTCTGAGGAATTGTTCGGATTAATCCCAGACGCCAAATTTCGTGAACGGACTACGCGGCAAACGTCCCGATACTATCCACACCATCTGGATGCTTGGCGGTCCACCTCTGAACGTTTCAAAAGGAGTTTTCTTCCGCGTACAACCTCTCTGTGGAATAGTTTAATACCGGCGATTTTTCCGGACCGATACGATCTGGGGACCTTCAAAAAAAGAGCTTACTCCTTTCTAAAGGGCCGGCAACGCACCTACAATTCCCCTGGCGTTGCGGTTGATCATGGGCGGCGGTAGTCATTTAACATCAGGTGAGCCGTATGCTCGTTTGCCCCCTCTTCTATAAAAAAAAATAAAAAACATGCTAGACGTAGGCCTTTTTCAGGTGCATAGTAAAAACTGAATATTAGGAATATATACTATACTATAGGAATATATTACTAAATTATTCTCCTAAAAATGTACTGAACGCCGCTAATATATGCGTGCCTGGCACGTGACAGTACGGACTTGTACGAACGAGTCACAGCACGCACACAACGATACTTGCTAAGTCTGAAAGATCGGGCCGAGTCGAGAACGCCCACCACCGCGCTTCGCAATGTTGACTTTTAATAAAATTTTGCTAGCAGTCTTTTTTTTTAGTTTTATTTTCTCTTTTTGTAAAATAAATTAATATATGCGTATGTTTAAGTAAATTAGCTTTTTATTAAATATATATATATATATATATATATATATATATATATATATATATATATATATATATATTAACGTAATGTTTAAAATTATTTTGATCTGATGTTATATACCATATATATACCAAATCTATACATGGATACATACCTCATAAGTACATTAATTATCATATCACATCGGATCAAAATAATTTTAAACATTAAATCTGAGCTGACACCGTATGCTCAATGTTAATTTATTCGTATTTTAGTTATTTGGCATTTGTTGTAATGTAAAGCTGGAATTTTTTTGACAAACATTGATTCCTTGAGAGGAAACTAAAGAAATTATTAACAAATATGATGCATAGGTACGTATCCGTATGTATGTTTGTAAATATCATAACTACTTAAACTTAATGAGACCTAGCTGTTAAACAAAAAGACAGTGACAACCCTGCAACAGTCGGCATTTAAGTCTCGCGCGGCGCGGGAGTTATCCTACCATTCTGTTTTTCCTATGCCAAGTGTGCGGCAGCTAAAAATCATACTTGTACATTTGCCAATACTTATCATCTAGGTAGGTTAGTTTTTAATTAAGTAACTTCCTTAACAAATAAAAAATCGTGATGTACATTATGTAAATACTTAAAACAAGCACAAGGTAGTATATAAGTTTCTCGACTGTAAAGAGTATGTAATAATATAATATTCCTTTATGGAACAATATATTAGATTTAATATTTTAATTTCGAAGTGTACTTATAACTTGTGATATGGATTAGTTTCAAAAATGAATGATTTTTAATTTTAATTTAATTTTAAATGGCGAAAGAAAGATAGGTAATTAAAAAAAATCTCAAACATTCTGCCTTTTTTATCTTTTAAATTCAAAATGCGTGGCAATGAATTATTTTAACTAATTTTACTGCGCTCGCACGCATTCGTGAGGGTCGATCGGTGGGCAGAATCGTTGTTGTCCGTAATTCACATTCAATTTAAGATAATTTCTTAAAAAGGAACCTTATTTACTCGTATTTTCAAAAACTGCGATAACTGTATATCATTATTTATATTGGATGTTTTTTAGCTGCATGAGAAGTTTCGATGGTTGTTGTCTAGGGTTTGACAGATGAGAATGTCAAACTGTTTTGACATTCCTGTTCAGTGAGGTTTGGCAGTTTATCATGAATCATTTAACGCCAGAACAACGCTTCCAAATTGTGGAAATTTACTTTGAAAAAAAAAAATAAACCTGTTCGCGAAGTTCATAAAGCACTTCGTCCATTTTACGGTCAACGTAACTGGCCTGAGCAAGCAATTAGTGCAGCTATTGATCGTTTTCACACTAATTTTACTCTCCTCGATTTAAAGGTATCAATAAGACAAAGAAATGTGACTTATCTTATGTGCCTATAAAATACAGTTCGTGCAAGAATTAAAGCCAAATGACCATCGTTTACGTCGCATTTTTGTTGGTACTGCTAATTTGAAACTGGCCGAAGATAAAAATTTTCATCAAAGAATTGTATTTACAGATGAAGCTCATTTCTAGTTAAATGGCTTCGTGAATAGGCAAAATTGTCATACATGGAGCGAACAAAATCCTCATGCCATTAACAAATCACCATTACATCCATTGAAATTGACTGTTTAGTGCGATACCAACGGTTCTTATTTCTTTCGAAATGAGGAAGTAGCTGCCTTTACGGTGAATGGTGAGCACTATCGAGCCATGTTGACTGATTTTTTGTTAAATATCGGCGATTTTTGGTTCCACAAGACGACGCAACTTGCCATACAGCACGCTTAACCATTAATTTATTGAAAAATCAAATTGGTGACATCCTTACTTTTTATGGGGCTATGTTGACTCATTGGTTGTGTCGTTAAACCAGTAACTCTTGAAGCATTGAAAGCCAATATTCAAGCCACCATTGACGCCATACGGCCGGATTTATTGGAAAAAGTATTTAAAAACTGGACTAATCGATTGGACTATGTAACTCTTCGCCGCGGCGGACATATTCCGGAAATCATATTTAAAAACTAAATGCCATGGGATTACCTACCAGATTATAATAATGAAAGATTTATTGCAACAATATTTATGTCTTGTATAAATATAAAGTTCTCAAACTCTTAAAAAAACGCCCTATATATTTGCACATAAGTTTAAAATTTGGCTACACTTTGAAAAATAACCATGTAGGTATATACTTTGACAAAAAAGTCACATAGAGTAAACAATGTGGTAAAGCAACTCTGCAGCTATAATATGGTTGTAGTACGAATAAACAGTACAGAATGAATGTAGCTGTCCGCTTAACCAGGGAAGAACCAAGCTCTTACAGAATGTCAGCGTAAAAATGTTACTTATGTTTCGTATGTTGAGTATAGAGACAGGAGACCCTTAATACTGGCAATTAAGCATTTCAAATTAGCTTTCTATGGTGACATTGCATCTACTGGTGATAGCATAGAATACTATAATACATACATAATAGAAGAGGGGGGGTGTGCGGAGCCCGTGTCGCCGCTAAACTGCCACAAGACGTCAATTCACACGTATAAATGTCAATACGAGATGTATTTTTGACGTTACAATCGTTTCCAAATTTCGCATGCAAATTATTCAGAAAATGCCAAATTGCACGCTATTTACAAATATATATGTATTAAAATCAGTCTGTCAACACAGCGAATTAGGTTTGTGGTAGTAGTATACGTCGTAATTGCTTGTATGTGTGCTCCCGGCGACGCCGAACCTCGATACAAAATAAGGTTGACAGCCATTCTATTGTGTATTATTGGGTTTATTATATGGGTGATAGCTACCACATACTATCTGGTAAACTTTTTGCTCGCTTGACAACCTCATTCTAAAAAAATATTATAACATTACCTTTACAGCCTATTTAAGTCCACTGCTGTACACAGGCCTCTGCCTGTGTACAGCATAGAGAGGATGTATGCCATAGTTGCCACGCTTGGCATGCGGGTAGGTAACTATAGGATTATATTTTTAGCCGTTATTAGGAAGACGCTGCTGCCCATCTCCTTTGTTTCCCTCTGTCGCCTCTTACAACACCCAGGTGGTGATATGGTGCAGTGGATTATACCGCCACTACAAAAAAAATGTACTTCAAACTAATTATGAACTGGCTACAGGAATGTTTGTGACAGCCCAACCAAAATTAGATATAAGTAATGTTTTATGAAAATCGTTGGAGCTGTTTCCGAAATTCCGATATAATCGGAATATCTGCAAGAATTGCTCGTTTAAAGGTATAGGATAAATAAATAAATGAATATATGACTAATACTTAGTAATTTATTAGTTTTGACGATTTATCCAAATTATCTAACCTCTCTCCTGCATCTTTTCCATTTCTGAAGCAAGTAATCCTCAGAAGTAGACTCAGTATCATGGTGGCAATTCCACTCCAGTTTCACTTCTTCCCTCTCTCGCTTAAGAGTAGTCAGCGCCAACACCATATCTGAAAATCAGTGAAGAATAATCTTTATTCTTGTAGGTAAAAAGCTGGTTCAAATGTACCTTAGGCTTTCATAAACAACCATCATCGTCATATTACCTTGTTGGAAAATTGTCCTTGGTAAACATACTGGTGATTGACTTTGAGCGTAGTGTTCCCAAACACTAGCGTCATAGACGTGACTTAGACGTTTTTTACAAACTATTCGTTGGGAAAAAAACTATTGTAATCATTGAGCATAGTGTAAATGTTCTCCGGCCATGCTGCCATTATGACTACATCGTCGGCAAATCGCAGGTGAGTGATGGACTCTCCCCATTAAAATAGAATATTTTAAATACAAGTACAATAATAGTTATGGAAAGTTATGTACGTCTGGTTCCAAAAAAAAAAAAAAAACTCCATTGTGGGAAGAACCAGAAAGAAACGTGGCGGTCCTTTTTAAGCATTAATTATTTACAATATCGTTACACACAGTTTTTTACGTGGTAGAGTCGCCTCGACCGGGGTATGAATGACCACGCTCTCACAGAATACCATCGTAAAATAGCTTAATATTGCTGTGTGTCGTACCTATGGTCAGTGTAAAGAACAGGAGATTTTTTTCTGGAAACGAGGCATTCCATCTAAGTCCTGAAGGGTAACAATGGTTCTGTATTTTGATTCTTAATAGAAGATATATGTAGTTGTCTTTGGGTCACAACATCTGGTTACCATCAGGTAGACTGTGTGGTCGTTTGTCACCTTTATTGTATAAAACAATATACATGTTGTTTAATTCGAAAATATTTAGAAACCGCATGGTCGATCACCTCATTCCTAGGTGTTATATAAACTATATCTAAATTACAATTTGTAATGAATAACGCAATTTTATATATTTTATCACGTTTTTATATCCTCACTTTCTTAGTTTGCTAAAAGTCTGTTTTTCTTGCCTTAAAGACACACTCATGTCGTTCTTATGTTTTATTAGATTTTCTTTCTTTAAAGCCTATCAAATTCCTCTGCAGGACGGAGGATTACCCGTAGATTGTCTCAAAAGGGCGACATTTTCCATATTAGCCACGCTTGGCAGTTAAATTGATATTATCAGTTTTTTTTTCTTTTCAATTTGTTATAACTTATAAGGAAGACTCTTGTGTCAATTTACTGGTTAGTTTCCCTCCCTGCTCTCTTAAGATACCCTCAGAACACTATGGGGTAGTGGATATTATAACACCGTTACTACATGCTGAATCTTATATTCAGTGCAAACAAACGCATAATTATTTTACTTACGATCCAGTTCAAAATATTGAGCCTCTTGCAGTAAAAGATTAACGTAAGGAAAATCATTAGGCAGCAAAAGCTTTTTGTTTCTCAAAAAGTTGAGAATATGCCGGAACATTCCGCCGTCTCGATCAATAAAATAGTGCTGTTTCAGCGTATCCAATACTATTGGAATAGTCCCAGAAAACATTCTCCCAAGCTTTGACTCCGGGTATCTGTAAATGTCCAGAAAATGAATGTGATTATAAATTTATATATTTTATCAATGTATGTCGTAGTGAAATTAATGCATAACTAATGAATTGTGGGCTCTGAATTCAAACCCCACCGAATCCGTTAGTTTTAGTATTCATCATCATCATTCATTATTACAGCTATTTACAAGGAACGCCACAAAACACGGTCCTGAGCCACCTGCATCCATCGACTTCCCGCATGTCTGACCAAGTCGTCACTCTATCTAGTGGGTCTCCGCCCTACACTTCGGTACGAGGTTTCCACTCGAGAATCTTTTTTTATAGGATAAAGATGAGAAATGACACACAGTCTGCTGTTAAGTGGTTGCTGTGACCTATAGAAATCTACATCTATCATCGTTTACGAATCAAAATGCAGATCGTGAAGACTAAAATGAAATGCCTCGTTTCCAGTAAAAAAGTCTCCGGTTCTCCATAATTACCATACGAAGCACAGTAGCGTTAAGCTGCTATTTCACGCTTGTATTCTGTGAGAGAGAAAGGAAATGTCCGCCGCGCTACCCCAATGCGCGTTGGCTTGTTTTCGGTTTATTTTTTCTTAATTGTGAGGTTTCCTCACAATGTTTTCCTTCACCGCCGATCACGTTGTAAATCAGCACTTAAAATTGCAATTAACAATTTCATTGGTGCCGGCGAGGATCAACCGCGAGATTAATTGTCGATTGATGATTGAGCAACGTTTTATCAACTAGTATCTGTCGAGCGCAAGCTACTACACCAATCGATCGACATCAATCGACGTCGATCAATGGCATCGATCGACGATCGATCGATTGATGTAGTAACCATAACATACTAAAACCTATATTATACTAAAATCATCGAATATTGGGGCTAACGATGATTTATCATCGATTTGTAGGTTACATGTTACAAGAAGCTTCCAAAGAGAATATAAACCACTAAATTTAAACCTTTTTAGCTTTCATTTTTGTTTAGTCAAGAAACAATAATAATAAAGTACGTTTGCCAATCAGTGCGTTCTGACATAATTTTCACTGTACTTACCACATAGACGAATTTATCAATGTATAGATATCAATTTATTAAAAAAATACGAAAGATTAAACTTCTAAAAAATCTAAAACCGAATTTAAGTTCCAGAAGTCTATGATAAGACTGATAGACTGATAAAAATAGATTATGACATCGAATTTTACTATACACATAATTCGGTATTTTTAACGTTTAGTTATTTTGCCCTTTTGAACGGACTCAAGAATATCACAGCATGAAAGCAACAACAAGAATATCGTCTAAAATGTTACATTAAAAATTCAACCCTTATTTTTCCACCCTTTGAAGTAAATTTAATAATAAAATTTATATGACCACCTTTAAAGAAATAATTAAATAAGAATCATTAAAATCGATTCAGCTATTGCTGAGAAATTCGTGAACCTACAAAAAATAATCATACACTTCTAATATATGTGGCAGTATGAGGTGGTCGCCACCATGCTATTTCTAAATGTTTTCATATTAATTGTCAATATTTTATATCGTAAATTGATGTTTTAAAAACGATCCTGCTGGATTTTTTGCTGGTTCAGTGGTTCACCTTTATCCTCGGAAAAACCAGCAAGAAACCCAGCGGGTCCTTTTTTTTAAAAAAATAAACAACACTTTACAATCATTTATTATGTTACACAATTATTTTAACAATACAACACAAAATGAAGTAGAAATAGCGATCACTTCATTCTCAGGGGTGATTATGATACATAAATTTCTGAGTAACCCTTTTTATACAATTGTTTAGTAAAGTTTTTAAGCTTGGCGGAAGTCGTTCGTTTCTGTAATTTGTTTGAAAAAAAAACTATTTAATTTCCATAATAAGAGCTTTAAATAAACCGAAACCCGGTCATTTTCTACTTTAACTATGACATGCCACGCATAAAACACAAGACGTAAAAGAAGAAGTTGAACACAGAAAAGCGTAAAAGAACTAAAAGCGTAGAAGAAACGTAAAAGAAGTTCTTTTTGCCTCGTTTAAGCAGCACATGTGAAAAACTTTGTTACTCGGAATTATTATTCCTGGATACTCTTCAAACTGGGACACAATAGTGAGTTTAACCACAATATGCTTATAAATTAGAACTATACGTTTCTTAAAATTAATTTGAATCGCTGAAGGGGGCCTCAAACGGGTAATTATTTTTTGCGTTGGTGTGACGCCTCCGGCGGGTGTCGTTTATGAATAATTATTGTAAAGAAACATGTAGGATTGTGTTTATAGCATATTGTAGTTAAAGTGCAATTTTTTAAAAGACGATCGCAATCATTATGAACAATAAAAATTAGAATTAAAAAAAACACCACTGTACCCTTTTGCGGTCACCTGTCTTGTACAATTTGAATCAATAAATTATAATTCAAAGTGATATACCATGGTCAGCACAAATTACACCTCTAGGCTGCATGTCATTCATGGTAGATCCTTGCTGCAGTTATATTATAGCTGAAGCAGAAATAGGTTGACTTGCCGGAGAAGAACCTTTTTAGATTACCAGCCCAAAATAGCAGCTTAATGCTACTGTGTTGCGTATGGTGTGTGGAGAGAACCGGAGACCTTTTTTTCTGCATACGTGGCATTCCATCTTAGACCCAGGTCACACAATTTGATTCTTAATCAAGGATAATTGTAGATATCTGTGGGCCGTACTATTCATTTACCATCAGGTGGACTGTGTGCTCGATGGAAACGCTTATTCGATAAAAAATTATGAAGCATATATTTTAACCAATTGCGGTTGTGCTCGAATTCGAATGGTATTGTAATGGTATTGCACCACTGCAATGACTGCAAAAATCCAGTCATTGCATTGGACACGGAATGAACAATGAAATTGTTGAATCGCGGGATTAGTATCATCGCTTACGCACTTGTTTCTTACAAGCAAACAGATTTAGAAGTTGTTTACGATTTATTTAGGCTCTACATCTCTATATATAAAAATCTGCTCTCCGACGTAGTAGCTTAGCAATGAGTTGCTGCGCTACGTCCGAATTCCGCACAGATCTAGTATTTTATGGCCTACAAATAATTGTTTCGGCTCCCTGGATGGTTTAAATTCACAATTGGACCCGGTTGGTGGCGCTGTTGTCTAGACAGTTGGTCGATGAAATCACCCATTTGAAGCCGAAGCGGATCGCCAGTACGATATATGATGACTGCCTCGTTGGTCTAGTGGTTGTAGTAGTGCGACTGCTGATCATGAGGTCCTGGGTTCGAATCCCGGGTTGGGCCAAAAAATTAATTATTGAGTGTTTCCGTCAAGAAATTGTCAGTAGTTTCCCGGAATCAGGAAGTAGGTGGTGTCTCACCCCTGTGCCTCGGAAAGCACGTAAAGCCGTTGGTCCTACGCCTGATCTCTCTCCGTTCGTTTCAGTTTACCGTCCCATCGGATTATAAGAGTCAATAGAGAGTGCTTGCGCACACACTTGGGCACTATAATCCTGTCCTGCGTCGATGGCTTTGCTACGTTGAGGCTGGTCGCCGTGGCCGGTCTGGGGACATTATTATAATTATTATAGGGAAAACATTTCTGTTTCTTAGCTCTTTGGCTAGTTCCGAATGCATACACGGGCAGAAGCCAAGTAAATACAGCGTGTAGTGAGTATTTATGTAGGTGGGGTGTTATGGGTAGCTATTTCATTTTCTTCCAATTGCATGAATTTTCTTACAATTCGACAGGTATTTAAAATTGTGGCTTTTTGGAGTATAATGTACGTTGAGTCTTTCAGGTCTATTAATTTGAGGCTATGGTGGAGATGGTTGGGTATGACACCCGTGGTGGAGACGACTATGGGTACTATATAAACTTTATTTTGTCTCCAAATTCTGGTCACTTCTTCTTTAAGCTCTGCATATTTGCTTATCTTCTCACCTATTGTTTTTTGTAATTATTATTATTATTATAGGGGTATCTGTATAGTTTTCTCATCTGGTTGGTTTCTATAAATATATAATTATAAATTAAAATGAAAAGATAAATATACATAAACATCAATAAAATAAAATAAATACAAAAAATACACAAATAAATAAAGATCCAACCAGATGGAAGCCCTCGGCAGGGGAGACCAAACGGCCGAGGGTTAGGAGGAAAGGGAAAGAAACCAACGGATGATGCGGGCGGTATCGAGGAGCACCGCCTTCTGCATTTGAGCCCGGAGCGGTCCGTCACGGAGTCCCAGTCGCCGCAGATGACCCGAGAGGCTGACTGGGATGAGCCCATTCGTAGAGACAACTACAGGAATAATTTCGATCGGCCGACCACCCCACATGTCGGTCACCTCGTGAGCCAGGTCCAGATATTTTGTTCGCTTATCTGTTTCGGCTTTCACGAGGTTCTCGTCATACGGAATGGTAATGTCGACCAAAAATATCCTTGACTGTGCCCGGTCCATCAGCACAATATCAGCCTTATTTGCAAGAATAGTCCTGTCTGTGATGATGGCCCGGTCCCAGTAGACCCTGGCGTGGTCATTTTCGAGCACGGCTTCCGGCAAGTACTTGTAATACGGAACTTTCCAGTCCACGAGACCGTATTTCAGAGCGAGCCCCTGGCGTAGAATTCTGGCTACTAGGTTGTGCCTGTGCTCAGAGTTAGAAAGCGCTGAACAACCGGAGATGACATGCCTAAGTGACTCCCCGGGATGGCGACAAGCTCGACAGACGTCGACGGTGCCATCCTTTAGGATGTATCGCCGATATTTGTTGGTCTTAATAACCTGATCCTGTATTGCACAGACAAAACCCTCAGTTTCCCCGAAGAGGTCACCGAAACGTAGCCAGTTGAGGGAGGTGACTGTATCTACGAAGGGCTCATGTAGAGCCTTGTAGTACCTCCCGTGGAGCTCCTTCTCCTTCCATACGGTCTCCCGGTCGGAAATGCTAAGCACTGCTGGGTCCTGCCATTGCTCGCTGGCTAAGGATAGAGGGGTAAGCCCTTTATCACTAGAAATGACATCATTATAAAATGGATCATCCGATCTCGCCAAGAAGTATTGACGGAGACTGCACACTTCGCGATTATGCATGGTGAGCGCGCTCAGAAAGCCACGCCCACCATGCTTTCGCGGCAAGTACAGCCTCATTGCCGACGATCTCGGATGTTGCATCCTATGGGACGTCATGGTAGTGCGGACTTTTCTATCCAGGGCATCAAGCTCAGTCTGAGTCCACACTGAGTATGCCAAAGGTATACATAAGGACAGGCATGATCCAGCAGTTATATGCGTATGACTTATTCACAGCGGACAAAAGGCTGTTAAGCACTTTGGTCAAGCGTGCATAAAACACGTCGCAAACTGACTGTTTCATACCAGCCTCATCGATACCGATGTTCTGTGACATACCCAGGTATCGGTATGTTTCAGCCTCGGAGTTAGCAACCCTTCCCCTTTCAACATGGAGGACCGCACACTTATCCGTCCCCAGCGCCATTCCAATGGAACTGCTAAATTCACAAGTGATGTTAAGCAGTTCCATAAGATGGGAGGGACTGGAGGCGAATAACTTGAGGTCATCCATATAGAAAAGGTGGGTCACTTTTGTCCCTCCTTTCCGTAGCTGAAATCCCCTCCCGGTGCCCTCCAGTAAGGTACTGAGAGAGGCAGAACCAGATTGGACTCAGACAATCGCCCTGAAAGATACCCCTTCTTATCCTTATGTGGTTCTCCGCAGACATCATCCACTCTCCCAGATGACAAAGGATCGTACTCCACTGCCCCATACACTGCTCGAGGAAGTCTCTAACTGTACAGTCAATCTTGTACAGCTCGAGGACCCTCTTTAGCCATGTATGGGGCACCGAGTCGAACGCCTTTCTGTAGTCTATCCAGGCGGCAGAGAAGTCCCAATGGTTGCGTTTCACCACTTTGCCTATAACCGCGTCAATGAGGAGTGGTTCCTTGGTTCCACGACCACCGCCCCGACACCCATTTTGAGCGCGTGACATCACCTGCTTTAGCTCCAGGTGACGAGTGATTCTCGCGCTCAAAATGGATGTCCGTGTCTTATATATGGTGGGTAGACACGTAATGGGGCGGTATTTGCTCGGGTCTGTGGTATCCTGATCTTTAGGAACCAAGTGAGTGATCCCAGTAGTGAAGAGGCTCGGGAGCGACTTCTGGTCGAGAGCCTCTTGAAACTGTCGGGCGAGCACAGCGTGACACACTATGAACCCCTTCAGCCAGTAATGATGCAGCCCGTTGAGCCCCGGACTTTTCCAGTTCGGGGCCCTACGGACCGCCTCAGCCACGTCTTCCGGCGTTATGGTGATGGGGTCCATAGGCGTAACACTCGCACCCTGGCTCGCCACAACTTCCATTCAAGGGCCCTCGCTGTGGTTTACGGGCTCTGACCACAGGCCACGCCAGAATGCGATAATGTCAGCCTGATCCGGTCCTTGGCCTGCTCCACATACCTTTGGTCGCTCCAATGATTTATAGAGCCTCTTCTGATCACTCTGGAAGAGACGATTCTGGTTGAACCGCCTTGACCTCTCGGTAAATCGTCGAATCCCCCAAGCAGCGATCTTTTGCTTCAGATCGTCTATGCGCTCCGTTAGTTTCTGCGTGATATCCGGCTGGGACAAACTGATATTTGTCCCAGCAAACGCCATCCTAACGGTGCGCACAATCCTCGGTCTATTATTACCCGACCTGAAGCTTGTCAGTCTGCCGATAAGGGCCCTTGCCTTTGCGATACGGTCCTTGATTCTTTTTCTCCAGGGTGGGATGACACTACTTTGTGTAGTAGCGCGTCCAGCCATGTAAAGTTTGGCGCCAATAATACGGCAAACTGCCACTGCGGCGCCAAAGAGAATTGAGTCCGTCTCGCAAAGGTCCCGGCTGGCTTCCAAATAGGTCACCATCATTGGGTTAAGAGCCCTCACGACAGCCCGATTTCGCTTGCTTAGGGGTATGCGGGGAAGTCGCGGTCGATTTTCGAGAGGGGTGCTGCGCGTTTCCAAAATCGCTTCTTCCAATATACTCCTCATTTGCTCTATTTCGTGGGAGACTATTTCATGGTAGTTCGAATCAACCACAACTGGAAGATCCGTGGCGGCTTTCACGTGTGGATGCTGGTCTGTCGGATGTGGAGCTGCATCTCCAGCCATAGCCGATTTATTCGACGATGGAATAGCCTCACGTTGTAGTCGTTCGAGTTCGGCATCATCAAATATTTTCGAGCGCATGATGTACCGAACTCGGTATGCCAGGTTTTGTTCTGTGACGGGGATAGAAGGCTCCAGCTCAGCAAAAAAGCAGTGCATCCGAGCCCTATACGCTATTCCCACAGTTTCTTTCCCTTTCGCCCTATAGTACGTCCGCAATGCGTTTTCGTTCATAGATTTTGTCCAACGCATGCGACGTACTCCACCAGCGGCGGGTGCCGCTTGCTGAGTCCGAGAAGAACCAGCCGACACCAATCCTTCTGGTGGGGATGATGGATGCGAGGGGCTGCTAGGTGATCGTGCAGCTCCTCGCGTTCGGCTGGCGGCCCGCATGCTGCCGCGTCCAGCGCCAGCTCCAGACGCGCCCCGGCGACCCCCAGGCAGCGGCGCTATGCGCGTTCCTTTCTGTGCCATCACCCATCATCCTTATTATTATTATTATTATACTCGTAAAAGGTTCTCATGTGGGGGCCTTGTCCCGATAAGCGAAGTCTAGGGCGACCCCTGTTAGATGAAGTGATGACCTGGTAAAAGATGCAGGAAATATTCAGATGGCTCCAGACAATGCTTCGTTGTATTCCCGGGGAATGCTTATGTTCAACAGGACATGTAATGAATGAATTAATTAATTAATAAGAAACATGGGGATATGAACGTTAAAGTCTTTAAAAAATCGACTGTCGAGCAAAGGCCTCTCTATAAAATGCCTAAACATCTTATTTGTCATAGTGTCACTACGACAATGATTTTATTCAATTCCAAGAGAGTTCAATTTTATTGTAATTTGCACGCATCACAAAAAAATCCATAACAAAATTAAGTAGGGATTTTATCGTTGTTATAAAATCCCTACTTAATTTTGTGAAGTGTGTTTTTTTATACTTTTCCCTGCGTTCCGATGAGGTATACATTTAGCATAAGAATAAGCACAAGCTAATCCACCAGTTAATAGACTGCGAAGAGTCAGTAATTCCTTCACGGGGAAATGTATACGCTTTTACAACAAAATCCTAGATAATCCTTCGGACCTGTCTATAGGGTAAAGGTTCCTAATATGAAATATGTTCTTAAAATGAGATAGTTCAGCATTTGAAATATCATTTTATGTAGTGAGCAACAGTGGTATTGTTTGGTCAGTCTCGTTCGTGTTCAAACGTGCACCATTGTGCACGTTTGAACACGAACGAATGACTACACGCTAAATGTAGCGACCGGCAAAAAGACGGGAAAATACACTACCACCTCGAGTTATGTCGGGAATGGATAAGATTTTTATTTGTTTTTAACTGCAAGTATGTTAAATCATAAAAAATTTACATTAAATACAGATTTGTGATATCTGTAAAGAGTGAATTTTAATATTCCAATTAATTTTATTGTGTTTATCACATACAACAAACATTACATATGATCATGTAGGGTTTATAGTGAGTTCCTTATATGATACACCAGTGGGCTCCTAAAATAGGATTTTTTATAGCATTGGGTGACAAACGAGCACAAAGTCTACTTGATGGTAAGTGGATGCTGTGGCCCATAAAATCTTTATCTCATATTAGGTTTTTGGGTTCCAGTTACAAACAATAGTTAAGTTGTAAACTCCTTATTTATTTCAGATGCTGCCAATTAAAAAGAAAATTTGGAATCATGCCATGTGTCAATGTTTTTTTTTTCAATAGAATTTATAGGATAAGGGTGACAAATGAGCAAACATTTCACCTGATGGTAAGTGGTTGCTGTGGCCCCTAGACATCTACATCTATCCTTGATTACGAATCAAAATGCAGGTGCTTTGTCACCCCTGAGGACTAAGATGCAATGCCTCGGTTCCGGTAAAAAGGATTACTGGTTCTCTAAACGCACTATATGAGAGACAGCAGCCTTGAGCTACTCTTTCACGCTGGTAGACAGGACACCACAAGGTGGTTTTGCTGCAAGGATTGGATGATTTAACCTAGACGCCGTAAAATTATTTTTCATTCTATATTACCAGCAATAGTAAAAATATACTTTTCTTTCAAATTATTCAAAGTTGATGAGAGTGGAATAACGGTAGTCTGAACTTGCAGAATCTATGAGATGTGTCTCCATCTCCAATGATATTTTCGTCGAAAAAATATGAAACAATATTTAATGGACAGTGCTCCAGAAGGGTCTATACACGTCCGGGAGTATCGTGTAACCAGGTGTATAAATAAAATAAAATAAATAAAAAATAAAAAAGCCTTTTAATTCCATGCATTACAATGATTTTTGAGCATTGAAATTATTATGCAACAATTCAGTTCAGATTACCTAAATTAATTGATAACATAAATTAACATACTAATTAACTAACACTTGTAACCATATATTAAAATATATGACATTTAGCTTTACTATTAACATAAAAACATTTGGATATTTTTAATTATTATTATTACACAAATATCAAAATCAAAATTAAAATTAAAATCAAAATTGAAATTATAAATTAAAAATAAAATTATAATCTCGTACTTATACAATTCACTCAATAGAGTAATCAATAAAGTATAGGACACCCCTAATTCCGGACGTATTTTGACAAAGAAAACATAAAATTTTCGAAACAGCATGCACACAGATGCAAATACAGGTATGATGTTTGGAAAAGCTTACGAAAAATCAGTAACTAATGCAAACAATGTTAATGCGTCAGAAAAACAGCTGAGTTATTATCTTTAACATAAATAAACGCTGAATTTTGCTCTAAAGTATAATTAAAGTGGATAAAAGTATATTTATGAATGGTATTCTTCATTTAAATGAACTCAAAAGCGGAATTGTCTAAAATGAAACATATGTTACGAGCTTAGGGTTCGTGACAATTAAATACTGCCGATTGAATTACCAAAGTTGACACTTTAATTACTGAACACCAATTAAAACTTAATTCACACTAATAATTATTTTCAATTAACACTGTTCACTTTATTTCACTCCGAAAGCTTCGCTCGTATCGCCAATTCAATACTGCCCCAATTACGGCTTTTAATGGCTTTAAATAGGCCTTTTCCACCGAAACATCCAGAATATTCCAGCAAATACCGGCCCCCGACCGACCAGGTACAGAAAGTTCGAGTGTGGAGTTTTCCAGAAAGCTTAGTTCTTCTATTCAATACTAGATGACGCTGGAGGTGGAAAGTTCCAGCATGGCATTTTCTGTAGAGCTCTCCTCGCTCTGTTTCCCGACACTAGATGGCGCTAGTGCCAGGTACCTTACATCAACTTCGGTGCGCAACAATATCTCAAATTAGGAATCCTAGTATTTCATATTAAGATATCGTCATGTTTGTATATAAAATGTGTATTATTTTGCTATATCACGAACATATTACAGAATAGGCAAGCACTATTGCTAAAATATTTATAGTTTTGAAATATACATTAAATATAATTTATTATCAGATAAAATCACCTCCTTCCCTGTGATATTTCACTAGAAATACGCAAAAATAAAAATGATGTCTCATATTTGGCATATTTACCCTATTTTTCCAACACGAAGTGTACGACATTCGGTGGACGAAAAGTTACTTTAATAGATAGGTTTTTGTTTATTATCAGGGAAAAAGGATCTTAACAAAAATGTATCCGATTAAGAACCTAATTAAATGACATGCCTTTCATATTATCGAAAAATGTTTCAATGGTTAGGTATCGCTAAAAAGACGAGAAAACGAACGTCAAAGGATTTTCCAGACGATAACATTATATTTTTTATCCCGATTAATCTAAAGTATTTTAATTAAAAAATATCCTTCGATTTAGAATTTAACTTATTATTTTATGTATGCGAAAATTTTTTACGAGCATATAATATTCCAATAATTAATTCCCGCCCGTCAAATTCGTGTCTAAAATACAATATTTCGTCCAACCTAGCCGTAAGCAAAAATTGTTTAATAAGGGTTAATTATACTACTAAAGAGTACATAATTGATATTTATTTTCTAAATGTGTTTATATTATATTTTAACAAAATGCATTATTGTAAATATTGCTGGTTCTTCTCAGGACAGAGGTTTTAAACATTTATAAACTAGAAGGAACTAAACTAGAGGTTATATGCTTTTACCACTGGTTTGGAGAACCAGCAAACAAAAAGCTTTTATCACTTTCAATAAGTAGGTACTCTTATAATCTATATTGATAAAAACTGTTCTATTATATTATAAACACAATTTTATAACATCTTAATACTGAGAAGGCTGGAAAAAGTCGGTAAAATTCGTTATAGAGATTTCTTAGGTCTATATTCAGGGTTATGCAATAACCCGCCAAATTTGCAAAGAAGGTTCAGAATAATTAATATAGGCAAATAGTCGAGAAAAATTAATTTAAAAAATCTCAAACACTCTGACCTTTTCATCTTTTAAATGCAAAATGCACGCACACATTTGTAAGGTTCGATCGGTAGGCAAAAACGTTGATGCCCAGAAAATATAATTTGGGACAATTTCAAATAAAATTAGAAGCCTTATTTGCTTGTATTTTCAAAAACTGCAATAACGATATATCGTTATGATTTCTTAAGTTTACGCGAACACTACACATTTAATAAAACTATATATACGGATTTTATTGCGTTTAATTAAACGCGATAAAATCTCTATAGATAGTTTTATTCGATATATCGTTATTGACATATTTGAACTTAAGTTTAAAATTTAGCTACTCTTATGAAAAGAAATCTGTATGGCTAACGAAATACTTTTAATCCCAAAAAAAATTAACAGTTCCTGTAGGATTTAAGTTAACCCTAATATTAATAACATGCCGTGTGAGTGTTTGTATGTTTGATGTACCTATTCATATGACAAACATACATTAGGTATATGTGAAAAAAATGACATCATACATTGTAACCATTAATACAAGGACATATTATCAATAAATGTTGTGTGTGGGCTACCAATGGTGTTAAAGTTAATTGAAGATATAATGATATACAAAAGAAAGAAATAAAATATTTATTTTGCTACCAATGATACCGCCATATTGTACATAATATTTCCCATTATGTTAATGAAATAATTCTACACGTTGCCGGACGTGACGAAAATTGCAATTAACAATTTCATTGGTGCCGGCGGGGATCGAACCAGGTTTGCTCGCGTACTATGAAATTTACAACGGGCGCTAATCATTGGAGCTATCACGGCCCTTAATTAATTTAATTATTAATTAATTAACAGTTTCAATTTAAAAGGTTATTCGGCCTGTTATTATTTTACTATTCTAAAGTTAAGAAGCGCTTCGTTCATGAGAGAGCAAAATAACCTAGACATTTTTTTTTATACAATAGGGTGACAAACGAGCACACAGTCCACCTGATGGTAAGTGGTTGCTGCGGCCCATAGAGATCTACATCCATCCTCCATTAAAAATCA